ATTTTTTCATCTTTTAAATTATTAGGAAGTTGAAAAATGTTAAGTGATTGTGGACGTTGAGAATTGATTTCATTTTGCACATTCTCCGAAATTTTTGAAAGTTGAGGATCATAAATAAGAATACGCGATTTAGTTTCTTGAAGTAAATTAATCAAAGCAGGTCCGGAATTTCGAGGACTAAGGAATAAGATTTGAAAACCTAGTTTCCATAAGGCCATAATGTTAAACAAATATTCTGGACCACTTTGTGCCAAATAGCCAATCACGCTATTTTTATCCAAATTTTCATTCACCAATTGTTTATTCCAATAATTAGCGTATTTATTGACAATAATATCGAAGTCTTGAAAATTAATTTCATCATATTTTGTACCATTGGGGATCAGAAGAGCATTGTCTTTTGGCCTAGTTGATACTTGATGTTGAAAAGCTTCCAATAAGCTTTGGTATTTGAGAGACATTTTTGCAGGTTGTAAGAAACTTGATTTACAAATTTTAATAATGATAAGATTTTTGCTCGTATTTACATTCGTGAAGCATGGTAATTTATAGCATTTTATCAACGGCAAAATTAATTTACTTTTGGTTACTGTCCGCGAAGGACACTACAGATGGGATAAAGTACACCCGAAGTCTGTATGTTAATACGTAACAAATTTTGAATTTCGAATGGTTGTTATAATGTAGATCATTTTTTTAAGTTTTAATTGGTTTGGTGCTATTTTAGATAGATAAAGTAGCTACTTTAGATAAATCATAACTTTAAATGCAACAATATATACAGACTCCACATCGAACTATGAAATGATGTCATCGAAAGAAACGTTTTTGCTTGAAAATCGCCGAAAGTGTGGTTAATCTTTTTCCCGATGACTCAACGAGTAGGGCTTGACAGGATTTGTAGATCAATTAACGAATAAAGGAATACGTAATTTTTCTATAACTGCTTGTGATGTCTTTAATAGTAGTCATATGATGTGGGTATATAGTAAATTAGTACAGTACGGTAGTACAATTTAGTACGTACGGACGTAAAAAAAGAAAATGATATCCTTGATGGTGCAAAAGAATTAGTTTTAAAAAAAAGTTCAATTCTCGCAAACATTAAAGAAACTACTGATAATGGTGATTATAGAGTAGGTGACTTTTTTATTGAAGCTAAAAAAGGTTCCGGTTTATATCTTTTACTTGGTCGAGTTGATGATACACTTATTCATACCACTGGTGAAAAAACCAATCCAGTACCAATGGAAAATACTATTTGTCTTAATAAATTTGTTAGACATGCAGTTGTCATTGGACATAATAGACCACTTAATAGTCTTTTAATAGAACTCGATTTTGATCGTTTAAAAAATACACCTTTCTTGGAAATCACGAAAAGTATCTTTGATTCAATTCATCAAGCTAATATTAATTGCCCATCACATTCTCGAATCTTTGACGAAATGGTTTATATCTTACCTCTTGAAGGAAAAAT